AGAGAGCTGACAACAGAACTGAGACTGGTTAAGAAGGCACGACTGGTGAAGAATTAGGGAAGAAAGGAAGATAGGCACTCCAGTTTTTAGAATTTAACTGGTAACTGTGCACAGACCAAGGTAAGAAATATTAAGTATTGCCTTGGGGGTTGGGCAAGACTCTTGTGTGAAGTGTGATTGAGATGTACTTTTGTATGAAGCTAGTGTGGAGTCCCAATCCGTGGTTCTGTAGCTCTGCGAAGGGGTGCAGATGGAGATGGGCAAAGCAAGAGGTAGAAGGGAGAAAGGAAGAGTTTTGGGGAAATCTGGTGTACAGTACCCCCTTGCATGGTAAAGCATTTGGCAATACACCAGGGAATCCGGTAAACCCATAAGTGTAAGAAGAAATGATTTTAAAAAGAAAGATTAAATACTGTTTATTAATCTGAACCAAGGAACCAATTGAAGAAAGAGCAGTATTTTGTCTAAAATGTAGATCTGATGAAAATTCAGAGTTTAAATATATATCTAAACAATAAGACTCCTTTTTTGGAGAAGTCAAGTTATGCTGCTTGCTGGGTGCAGGAGGTAAGTCAGTTTTTATTGAAAAGGGTCAGGACCAAGAGAAAGAGGAGTCACTGGTAGCAGTAGCAGCAACTCCAGGAAAGGAGCCAGGGACTGCAATTAACACTGTCCCTAGAGAAGAAGTGCACTCTATGCTCTGGCAAGAATTACAACAATGTTTAACAGATACTAAGAATTTCACCTTCCTTGATACTAACATGACTCCCTGATTGCAATTCATAAGCTAATTCGTCAACTAGAGAGCAAAGGAGTGATCAGCAAGACTCACTCACTCTGTAATAGTCCCATATGGCCAGTGGACTATCATGGCCTGAACGAAGTCCCGCCACCACTGAGTGCTGCAGTGACAGACATGCTAGAACTCCAGTACAAACTGGAATCAAAAGCAGCCAAGTGGTACGCCACAACTGATATCGCTAATGCATTTTTCTCCATCCCTCTAGCAGCAGAGTACAGGCCGCAGTTTGCCTTCATTTGGAGGGGAGTCCAATACACCTGGAATCACCTGCCCCAGGGGTGGAAACACAGCCCTACCATTTGCCATGGGCTGATCCAGTCTGAGCTGGAACAGGGGGAAGCTCCTGAACAGCTGCAGTACATCGATGACATCATTGTGGGGGGTGACACAGCAGAGAATGTTTTTGAGAAAGGGAAGAAAACAGTCCAAATCCTTCTGAAGGCTGGTTTTGCCATAAAACAAAATAAAGTCAAGGGACCTGCACGAGAGATCCAGTTTTTAGGAATAAAACGGCAAGATGGACGTCGTCAAATCCCAATGGATGCGATCAAAAAATAACAGCTATGTCTCCACCAACTAGCAAAAAAGAAACAAACTTTCCTAGGTGTCATGGGGTTTTGTAGAATGCACATTCCAAGTTACAGTCTGATTGTAAGCCCGCTTTATCAAGTGACCCTGAAGAATGATTTCAAATGGGGCCCCAAACAACAACAAGCATCTGAACATATTAAATGGGAGATAGTTCATGCAGTAACCCTTGGGCCAGTCCGAGCAGGACAAGATGTAAAAAATGTGCTCTACACTACATCTGGGGAGAATGGCCCCACCTGGAGCCTCTGGCAGAAAGAACCTCGGGACACTCGAGTTCTACCCTTCAGGTTTTCGAGTTGGGGATACAGAGGATCTGAGGCCCACTACACTCCAACTGAAAAGGAGATATTGGCAGCATATGAGGCAGTTCAATCTGCTTCAGAGTTGGTCGGTACTGAAGCGCAGCTCCTCCTGGCACCCAGACTGCCGGTACTAGGCTGGATGTTCAAAGGAAGGATCCCCTCTACACATCATGCAACTCATACTACATGGAGCAAGTGGGTTGCACTGATTACTCAGTGGGCTCGAATAGGAATCCCCAGTTGCCCAGGAATCTTGGAAGTCATTGTGGACTGGCCAGAAGGCAAATATTTTGGGCTATCAATGGAGGAGGAGGTGGCCCATGCTTAAGAAGCCCCACTGCACAACAAGCTACCAGAAAATGAGAAGCAATATGCCCTGTTCATTGATGGGTCCTGTCCTATTTTGGGGAAGCATCGGAGATGGAAGGCTTCTGTATGGAGTCCTACATGATGAGTTGCAGAAGCTGCTGAGGGAGAAGGTGAATTGAGTCAGTTTGCAGAAGTGAAAGCCATTCAGCTGGCATTAGATATTGCTGAATGAGAAGAGTGGCCAGTTCTCTATCTCTACACTGATTCATGGATGGTAGCAAATGCCCTGTGGGGGTGGTTACAGCAATGGAAGCAGAGCAACTGGCAGCACAGAGGCAAACCCATCTGGGATGCTGCACTGGGGCAAGATATTGCTGTCTGCGTAAAGAACCTGGTTGTAAAAGTACACCATGGAGATGCTCATGTGACCAAGAATGGGGCCACCGAAGAACATCGAAACAACTAGCAGGTGAATCAGGCTGCTAAGATTGAAGTGGCCCAGGTGGACCTGGACTGGCAACATAAGGGTGAATTATTTGTAGCTCGATGGGCCCATGACACTTCAGGCCATCAAGGTAGAAATGCAACATACAGGTGGGCTCGTGATTGAAGGGTGGACCTGACCATGGACACTACAGCACAGGTTATTCATGATTGTGAAACATGTGCTGCAATCAAGCAAGCCAAGCGGTTAAAGCCTCTTTGGTATGGAGGATGATGGCTGAAATATAAATATGGGGAGGCCTGGCAGATTGATTACATCACACTCCCTCAAACCCACAAAGGCAAGCGCTACATACTAACAATGGTGGAAGCAACCACCAGGTGATTGGAAACATATCCTGTGCCCCATGCCACCGCCCAGAACACTATCCTGGGCCTTGAAAAGCAAGTCCTAGGGTGACATGGCACCCCAGAATGAATCGAGCCAGACAATAGGACACATTTCCGAAACAACCTTATAGACACTTGGACCAAAGAGCATGCTATTGAGTGTGTGTATCACATCCAATATCATGAACCAGTCTCCGGGAAAATCAAGTGATATAATGGATTGTTAAAGACTACACTGAAGGCAATTGGTGCTGGGACATTCAAGCTTTGGGATACACATTTGGCAAAGGCCACCTGGTTAGTCAGCACTGGGGGTTCTGCCAACCAAGCCAGACCTGCCCAGTCAAGCCTGTTACGTACTGTAGAAGGGGACAAAGTCCCTGTAGTGCATGTAAAAACCATGCTGGGGAAGACAGTCTGGGCTATTCCTGCCTCAGGAAAAGGCAAACCCATTCCTGGGATTGCTTTTGCTCAAGGACCAGGATGCACTTGGTAGGTAATGCAAAGGAATGGGGAGGTCCAGTGTGTACCTCAAGGGGATTTAGTACTGGGTGAGAATAGTCCATGAATTGAATTGTATTATGTTAGTTATTATCAAATACTGTATGTCATCACTACCACGATTGCTATATGTCAGTGTCCTATTAATGGTATCACAGTAACAGCCACGTAGGTAATGATGAATGAATTTTGATAGAATTGGATAAGCACGGCGGTGTGATGGAACGAGAACAGGCTTTAACTGGAGACAATCCAACATCACACACCATGCTGCCCACTAGAGCCAGTTGCCCAGGGCATCATCCAACCTGGTCTTCAACACATGGGAACAGAGTTCCATCAGGTAGACTTGAACCTGCTCTTCAGTTACAGCGGGAAGGACTTTGCTCTTACAGCTCTGACCTACAGTTTCAGGGAAACAAGAGACATGGGAAGCCTGACTGGCAGTGAAGACTGAGGCAAAGAAGTTGTTGAGTAACTCAGCCTTCTCCATGTCTGTTGTTACCAGTTGTCCCTTCTTGTCTGTCAGAGGGGGTACACTTTCCTTGGCCTTTCTTTTCTGGCCAACATATGGATAGAAACCCTTCTTGTTATTTTTATGCAAAGTTTTCATCCAGAAACTGAGCTGAACACAGTACTCCAGGTGGGGTCTCACAAGAGCATAGTAGAGGGGGAAAATCACCTCCTCTGACCTGCTGGCCATGCTTCTTTTCACACTGAATCATAGAATCATCTAGGTTGGAGGAGACCTTCAAGATCACCTAGTCCAACCTCTGACTTAACACTAACAAGTCCTCCACTAAACTATATCACTAAGCTCTACATCTAAACGTCTTTTAAAGACCTCCAGGGATGTTGACTCCACCACTTCCCTGGACAGCCCATTCCAATGCCTAACAACCCTCTCAGTAAAGAAGTTTTTCCTAATATCCAACCTAAACCTCTCCTGGTGCAACTTTAGGCCATTCCCCCTCATCCTATCACTAAGCACGTGGGAGAATAGACCAATCCCCACCTCGCTACAGCCTCCTGTTGGGTACCTGTAGAGAGTGATAAGGTTGCCCCGAGCCTCCTCTTCTCCAGGCTGAACAATCCCAGCTCCCTCAGCCGCTCCTTGTAAGACTTGTTCTCCAGACCCCTCACCAGCTTCGTTGTCCTTCTCTGGACACACTCAAGCACCTCCATGTTCTTCTTGTAGTGAGGGGCCCAAAACTGAACATAGTACTCGAGGTGAGGCCTCACCAGAGCCGAGTACAGGGGGACAATCACTTCCCTAGTCCAGTGATGATGCACCTGGGAAGGGGCAACCCTGGATGTACATACAGACTGGGGAATGACAGGCTGAAGAGCAGCCCAACAGAAAGGGATCTGGGGGTTTTGGTTGATGGCAAGTTGTTTATGACTCAACAGTGTGCCTTGGCAGCCAAAAGGGCCAACCATATCCTGGAATGTACTAAGGACAGAATTTCTAGCTGGTCGATGCAAGTGATTGTCGCACATTATTCTGCACTGGTGTGGCCTCACCTTGAGTACTGTGTGCAGTTTTGGGTGCCACAATATAAGACAGATACAAAACTATTAAAGAATGTTCAAAGGAGGTCTACCCCACAACACAAAAACTAATTTAAAAGCATATAGGATTGACAGTATAGGCAAGTAGGTGGTATGACTCAAAAACACTTTATTTTTTTATGTCAGAAATATAACCCCAAAACCCAATAAATAAAGATTAATAGGAAATTAGCATTAAGAATTCAATTATAACATATGGAGATATCTGGGAATCAAATCCTCAAGCTTTCCTGATACTGAGAAGCCTCTGCAAGCTATGAAGCAAATACATAAATAACTCAAAATGATAAGGACTGTGAAGACTTAGAACTAAGATAACATAATCCAGGTAATTCCCCCTCTCCCCCAGCAGTGAATATATGCAACATCTACACCTAAGTAAAGTATATTTAACGGTTAAAAGAAATTAAACACAAAAATGAAAGCTTTAAAGAATGATGAATGAAATTTGTTTTTAGGGCACACAGAAGCTCTTTGTGGTAGATTGCCAGTAGTGACCCTTGGTTTTTTGTCTCCTACCGATGTATAAAAAGTTGAATTCCATATGAATATGATGGCTAACAGGGCATCATAGTGGTTACAGTATAGCAAAACACCACACCCTGGAAATAACAATATAGCCCACTGCAGAGTTTGCATTAATACACAGGGAGAGTACATAGAAAAGGTCATTGGTCATATGTTACTCAAAGGCTACTTCATCGCTACAAACTGCTAGTGAGTATTAATCTTTTTTGTCACATTACCTTTGAATAATAGGAAAGCTTTGGGATTTTATACTTTTACTACTTGTACTTTTTTTTTTTTAATGACAAGGTCACTAAAACTCATGCACGCTGCAAAAAACATCATGCAGTAGTTAAGGTAAACCATCCAAGCAATTTTTATTCATTAATAGTCATAAATACACACAGCAGCTTCATTAGAGATTTTTCATTTTTTCCCCTTCAGTTTGAATGTGGAGTATTAGGAGAGCTTTTTGCATGTCAAGCTACGGGACACAGAACTTTTTTCTCTGCACTGCAACCTATATTTACCTGCTAAAAGTAAAAATTGGTTAAGTGGAAATGATTATCATATATATCTTTTCTCTCTTCCTTTGAATGTACACAATGTAACAAGAGCAACAGACCTAAAATTACAATCACCAAAACAAACCCAAGATAGTTGTTGTCCAATTTCATTGGCAAATACAGCACAGAGGACATTGTTTGCAAAATGGGATGCCATCAAAAAGGAGGCAGAAGAGGCTCATTTCCTTTATTATTCTCTTTTAAATTTAGGTTTTCTAAAGCAACATCTAGAGGCATAATATCTACACAGCCCATAGCACCAAAATCAGCAATTTCTCCCCGCTCATCCTCATCTGAGGAGGAACCTTCTTCCTGCATCAAAGTAGATAGTAGAAGCTCTTGAACAAATAAGCTACGGTCTGCCCGTTCACTTTCCTTTGACTGACGCTCTGCTTCTGACATCTTAGGATCATTCAACCTGCATAGCAGTACAGAAAGAGAGAAGACCTGCAGTTAGTGACAGCCCATTGATGATATTGTTGATGATATTACTAAGCCTAACAGTTGGACTGACGCATGCTGAATAACATCTGAAAATCATTCCGTTTGAAAACAGCCTAGGTACTACTGCACTTTTGACACATGCATATCTGACAATGCCTGGCACTCCTGATGCAACAAGAATACAGACATTTAACAAACTTGCTCCTAGTTACTATAAAAAAATTCACATAAGTGGATTCTAAGGCTGAAGGAACAAATAGCTATTTCCAAAGTTTCTTACCCTTCAGAGGGATTTGAGGAACTTAACTCCAGTTCTATCCTAGTTCACAAGATCAATGACTGACATTTGCACATACTTTCATTAAAGTTATTATTTTCAAAAAGTTTTGGATTGAGATATTATTATGAGTTTAGATAAAAATAAGCATGACAGCAATAACTTGTTCCAACCCAGGTATCTAGACACAGCAACTGTTTAATTATCTGTTCTCTTTCCCAACATACAATTGAAAAACACCCAAAACCCCCATTTGAATCTTGAAAATCAATATTCTAAACCTCCCAGAAGAGATGGACTAAGTGTGGGCAACTCTTCTACAGAGGAACTCTAGGATGTAACTATACTTTCTGAAACAGCTATGTATTCTGCTTATTAATAGTAAGTTCCTTATTTGCTTTTTTGATCCAAAATATTTTATATATAAACCTGTATTTAACCTTCAGCCTTAATTACAGATTTCCTATTAAATAACACTACCTTTTAAGATCTCTCCCCTAACATTATCAGCATAAAAGTTTGAAACATATTATTGTAAATGCTCTTGTTTTATAAGCAGTAGTAGGATAAACAAGCACAATTTAGTAAAGCAATATTCCTTATGTTTCTTTTGAAATTGAAAAACAGCAAGTAATATTTATTCACTGCCTAGGAGCAGACACACAGCAGGACTGAAAATGAGATGTTGCAAATGGAAACAAAAACATAGTACCTCAACTACAAACTTCAATAGGAATCTGTCAGAACTTCCATGGCTGAAACTGTAAGCAACTCATACAGCTATATAGCTCAAGTTATAAGACTGTAGTGGGTTTACGTGCCAAGGTTTTGGTAGCAGGGGGCCATAGGGGTGGCTTCTGTGAGAAGGATCTAGAAGCTGCCCCATGTTTGGTAAGGGCCCCACTGCTGACCAGAGCTGTGCCAATAAGCAATGTTGTTTTGCCCCTCTGTGAGAGCATATTTAAGACAGGGGAAAAAAATGCTGCGCCACACAGCAGCTGGGAGAGTGAAAGGAGAAACAGCCTTGCAGGCGCCAAGGTCAGTGAAGAAGGAGGGGGAGAGGTGCTCCAGGAGCCGGAGCAGAAGTCCCCTACGGCCTGTGGTGAGGGCCATGGTGAAGCAGGCTGTCCCCCTGCAGTCCATGGAGTACCACGGTGGAGCAGGGTTCCGTGCTGCAGCCCGTGGAGGAGACCATGGTGGAGCAGGTGGACCTGCACTGACGGAGGCTGCCCCCTGTGGAAGACCCCTGCCCGAGCAGATTCCAGGCCGGACCTGTAGCCCGTGGAGAGGAGACCACGCAGGAGCAGGTGACCTGGCAGGAACTGCTGCCCGTGGGGGAGCCAGGTTGGAGCAGTTTTCTCCTGAGGGATGGACCCCATGGTACAGACCCATATCTGGAGCAGTTCGGGAAGAGCTGCTGCCTGTGGGAAGCCCACATCGGATCAGTTCATCAAGGACTGCATCCCGTGGGAGGGACCCCACAGCACAGGGGACAAGAGTGACCGAGAAGGAGTGGAGGAGAAGAAGCTCTATAGACTGACCATAACCCCCATTCCCCCGTCCCCCTGCGCCTCTCGGGGGGAGGAGGTGGAAGAGGGTGGATGGGGGGGGAAGGTGCTTTTGGTTTCTTTCTTTTGTTTCTCACTTCTCTAGCTTGTTAGTAATAAGCAATAAATCTTACTGTCTCCCTATGCCGAGTCTGTTTTGCCCGTCACAATAATTACTGTGTGATTTCCTTGTCCTTATCTCAACCTTTGAGCCCTTTTCATCATATTTTTTCCCCATTCCTCTTTGAGGAGGGGGAGTGAGAGAGCGGTTGTGATAGAGCTCGGCTACCCACTCGAGTGGAACCACCACAGACTAACCTCCTTTCCAAGGCCTGCAGAAAACAATTAATCCATATTCCAGTCTAAAGCTTTAAATACGTTCCTAGACACATAGATGAAATGCAGCATCCCTGTGAGACTGCCTCTCACTTTCACGAACAGAGACTCCATGGGTTATTTCTGCAGCCAACTCTTGGGAGTTGTTTTTCTGAAAATAGAAGAATTCCCTTCAGGCCAGCTACAAACTACTACTCAGATAGCATTTCCTTGGTTTTGCTTTACTCCTAACAGTGTGGTTCTATCTAATTTTTGTGACTGTATTATAAGTTTGTGCATAAATACCTAACTGCACATAAACTGAAAAATGTTAACACATCACATTTCTTATGATTCAGTACACAACATGTGCTATTTAATGTTATTCTGATATTTTGACAAAGCACAGGCTACTACCACATCTTTAAGTACACAGTAATCAAGTTTAAGAACAATTAAGTGGATGAAGTTTACTGCTTTTAATGGTGCTGCACTAAAGTGTGAAATATTTTTCTTTTACATTAAGTTATGAATTACAGATATTCTACAACAGCTATTGACCTCTAACATCAGCGTATTCTGTAAAATTCACCGATTGGCCTGTTAATCTTGGGATATATTTATCTGTAGTTACAGACCCTACTTTGCTATACTAAAGCACATGCCAAACTAAATGCATAGTAGTTTCACCAAACTCTCTAACAGGGACAAGGAAAACAGAAATGGTAGAAGAGTTAAACCCCTAGAATAAATTACCTTGTAAGAAGAAACTGGGAATTCTGGATAGTCTGTTGAATGTTTTCTGTGTTAGATGTATTGGTTGCTGCTACAGATTGTGTAAGAGTGGTGGGGATGCTGCTTGTATTAGTGCGTCTAGTTGCATTGCGTGCAGTCTCCAGTTGTTGTCTTGCTGCTTGAGCATGCTGTCGCTCCAACTGCAGTTGCATCTGCAGCTGCTGTAACTGAGAAGCAGAAGGGCCAGAAGAATTGAGCTGCCCTGCAGAACGTCTCACGCCTGATAACTGAGATAAAAGCTCTGCCAGAAGAAAGAAAAGTTTCTACGGTGAAATCTGCTTAAATACATACCATGCAACAACATAAATATGTCCTGAATACCAGTATATCAATTATTTTGCTTTCTAAAACCTTTCATCAATGAAATTAATGAACAAATATTGATTTGGAAAGCTTCATGAGCTATCCATTACAAGCATCCCATATCTCAAAACCCATAGGGCAAGGAAGATTAAGACTCATCTAGAGTAAAGAACTGTGCATAAAAGATTCAAAGCTTAAAGCTTTTTAAACCAATAAGAGTCAACCTATGAGAAATGTCCTATAAGCAATATCCTGTGCAACAATTTTCTAAAATGTTATCTTCGAGTCAAAGTAGTTACTAAGAAACCATTTCAATTTTCACTTCAGTTGGTGGTTTTATTCTCCCCCCCAAATCCACCTTTAATACATATTCCAGAGGGTAGCTGTGTTGCAGAAAGACAGAAAAATCAGAGACTCTTTTCAGACATTTCTAGAAAATATATAGTTCAGCGGTGTTTTTTTGTGTGTGACTTTTGACTTCTGCTGGAAATAAAGAAATTATAACAATTATAAATAAATAAAATATGGCATGAAGGCATGAATTGCTTTCTTCCAAAGTTCAAGACCGACAAATTCTGTCCATGCTAAGCATTTCCTGAAATAAATGTTAATAATAAGTTATTGCTCAGTTTACTACAGTAAACTCAGTACAGTTGCATTTACTACAGATTATATTCCAAACAAATTTGTGAGTACTACTTTGATGTGTTTGATGCAAGGAGGACAGAAGATTAATTTGTTCCCCATCTACCCAACCTTCATACAAGTCGTTATTATAGGTCATAAAAATTTTTCTTCCATCTTACTTTCAAGATATAAACCTTTGAAACTAGGCATTTCTTAGGGGAATAAAGCCCAATGCAGTAGCTCTTTCATCAGGAACTCTTGGAATGCAAACAGTAAATGCTCAAGTCACTTTTAATCAGCACAGCTAATCATATCAAGATTAGCTACTAATAATATTGTATTTCATTAATTACTGACAACTACAACAAAGAGAAAAACAAATAATGTTTAGAGATCTGTTACAAGCACAAGTTCTAACTTCTGGTAGTATGTGCTAATTATTACCCCAATAAAAAGGGAAGACTAATAACGCTGTCAATCAAGACTGCTGTACTTATCCTCACTTTGAAAAAAATCACTTTGAGTATAGCCTAACTGTACCCTGGTAGCAGATCTGAGCTTGAGACACAGGCTTGGTATGAGATAGACACCCAATCAGATGGCACTACATTCTCAAAATGCAAATAAATAAGTAAGTAAGTAAATAAATAAATAAGTTCCACCCCCCCCCCCCCCCCCAAAAAAAAGACAAGACTCAAAGGAATGCCATTTTATTACACCTTTTATGCTCCTAAATGGGAAGGCCTTGTGAGGCTGAAACCAAGGCAGTCACTTCACATTTAACTAAGCTGCACTAACATCCACTGTAACAGTAATAAGTATTGCACTCCAGGACACACAAACATCCTCCCTTCTTGCATGAACTCTAGTGCTTTTCAAACACGACTTAACTCACTAAGACAAAAGAAAACTTTTTTTCCTCTTTTGCTGCAATATTTTTAGTAGGAGTGCAGCCAGCAGGTCCCAGGAAGCGATTCTTCCCCTCTATTTGGCACTGTCAAGGCCACATCCAGAGTGCTGTGTTCAGTTTAGGTTCCCCAGGACAAGAGACACATGGACATAATGGAGCAAGTCCAGTGAAGGGCAGGAATGCCATCATAGAGAGACCTTGACAGGCTTGAGAAGTGGGCCCATGAGAACCTCATGAATTTCAACAAGACCAAGTGCAAGGTCCTGCACCTGGGTCAAGGCAATCCCAAGCAAATACCGGCTGGGTGGAGAATGGATTGACAGCAGCTCTGAGGAGAAAGACCTGGGGGTGTTGTTTGATGAGAAGCTCAACATGAGCCAGCAATGTGCATCCCAGAAAGCCAACTGTATCCTGGGCTACATCAAAAGAAGCATGGTCAGCAGGTTTAGGGAGGTGATTCTCCCCCTCTACTCCGCTTCTGTGAGACCCCACCTGGAGTACACTCAACAAGCTCTGGGGCACCCAATATAAGAAGGACATAGGCCTGTTTGAGTGGGTCCAGAGGAGGGACACGATGATCAGAGGACTGGAACACCTCTCCTATGAAGAAAGGCTGAGAGAGCTGTGGTTGTTTACTTTGGAGAAGAGAAGGCTATAGGGAGACCTTATTGCAGCCTTCCAATACTTAAAGGGGGCTTTATAAGAAAGATGAAGAAAGACTTTTTACCAGGGAGTGTAGGGATAGGACAAGGAGTAATGGCATAAAACTAAAAAAGGGTAGGTTTAGATTAGATATAAGGAAGAAATTCTTTACTCTAAGGGTAGTGAAGCACTGGAACATGTTGCCCAGAGAGGTTGTGGATGCCCCTTTCCAGAAATGTTCAAGGTCAGGTTGGATGGGACTTTGGGCAACCTGATCTAGTGGGAGGTGTCCCTGCCCATGGCAGAGGAGTTGGACTAAATGATCTTTAAGGTCCTTTCAAACCCAAACCACTTTATGATTCTATAAATATCTGATGGGAGGGAATGAAAAAGAGGGAGACAGATTCTTTTCAGTAGTGTTCACTGACAGAACAAGAGTCAAAATTAAAACAAATTAAATCTACCTGAAAACAACAAAACGCTTTTCTACTGTGAGGGTGGTCAAATACCATAACAGGTTGTCCAGAGAGGTTGTGGTGTCTCCATCCACGAAGATATTCAGTACCAAACTGGGCACAGTCCTTGGCTACCTGATCTAGCTGACCTTATTTGAGCAGGGGGTTGGACTAAATTATGTTGAGATGTCCTTTCTAACCTCAACCATTCTTTTATACCACCTGTGAACAGGTCAGTCATGGGAATGAGCCTAGAAGTCTCTGAATTTAAAAGCACAAGCTAAAGGGTCAGTGGTTTTTGCTTCAGAAGTTCCAGGTAGACAATCCAATCAAGGATACTGTTCATCAGTAAACATCCATCAAGTACGATGACAGTGGGAAACATATATACACTTTCAACTTCAAAACACAGAAAAACAAAGCAACTATTATCATCTTGGATTTTATTTAAAAGTCTATTTAAGAAGGAAACTGGGCTAAAATCAGTGGTTACAACTCTTACCAGCTATAGGATCCATGGCTTCTCTATTGCTTGTAGAATATGAACTTTGAGAAGATGAAAGCCCACCAGTGGAACTGCTAGTAAAGTGCATGTTTGATCTACGTGCACGAGGGCCTCCCAAACCCCGGCCTGGGTGAAACATTCTACGTACATGTCGAACACCGCTAGATTCATCATAAACAAGCAATTAAGGAAAGACATTTGTTATCAAGTATTAAACAGCAAAAACATTTACTAGGTGAATAATGATTCAACTTTTTAAGTGTTTTTATAAACATTTTGGATGTAGGACTAGAAGGTGTTTTGAGCAAATTTGCTGACGAAACTAAACCTGGAGGAGTTGTAGACTCTGTTGAGGTTGGAAAGGCCTTGCAGAGAGATCTGGACAGATTGGAGAGCTGGGCAATCACCTACCACATGAAGTTTAACAAGAGCAAGTGCCGGGTCCTGCATCTGGGATGGGGCAACCCTGGCTATATGTACAGGCTGGGCAACGAGACGCTAGAAAGCAGCCCCGCAGAGAGGGATCTGAGGGTTGTGGTTGATAGCAAGCTGAATATGAGCAAGCAGTGCCCTGGCAGCCAGGAGGGCCAACCGTATCCTGGGGTGCATCAAGCTCAGCATTTCTAGTCGGGCAAGGGAAGTGATTGTCCCGCTCTACTCTGCACTGGTGCGGCCTCACCTCGAGTACTGTGTGCAGTTCTGGGCACCACAGTACAAAAAGGACGTAAAACTATTTGAGAGTGTCCAGAGGAGGGCTACTAAGAAGGTGAAGGGCCTAGAGAGGAAGATGTACGAGGAGCAGCTGAGGTCACTTGGCCTGTTCAGGCTGGAAAAGAGGAGGCTAGGGGGAGACCTCGTTGCGGTCTACAACTTCCTCGCAAGGGGGAGCGGAGGGGCAGGCTCCAATCTATTCTCTCTGGTGACCAGTGATAGGACCCAAGGGAATGGAGTCAAGCTGCAACAGGGGAGGTTCAGGCTGGATATCAGGAAGAGATTCTTCACTGAAAGGGTTGTCACGCACTGGAACAGGCTCCCCAGGGACATAGTCACAGCACCAAGCCTGTCAGAGTTTAAGAAGCATTTGGACTGTACTCTTAGTCATATGGTCTGAATTTTTGGGTAGACCTGTGTGGTGCCAGGAGTTGGACTCCTTATGCATCCCTTCCAACTCAGGATATTCTATGATTCTATGATTTTAACATCAAAATTAGGAAATAAGTACTCAAAATAATCTACAAATTTTTATTGTTGTTCTTACCAAGAGCACACATTAATTATTGCATTACCTTTCACTTTTGTGTTTTACTGCTTTCAATCACATAATTATCTATAATATACTACTGCATTTGTATTACTTTCACATACACAAAAATGGCATCAGAACTAAAGACCAATGAGGGTAAAAGCTGCAGTGCAGAAAGAAGCAGATTAGTGTCAGAAACATCTTTAAAAGGCTTGGCTATCAGGAATAAAACAAAAACAAACACACACCAACATTGGCTAGCTACACCTAAAGCCCATTCACAATCTGATTATATATATATGTATTTTCAGACATGCAGATCCCCAACAATCAAATACCAATTCTAAAAAATAAGCAAAACAGATGTAGCCACTTGACTACAAAAGTCAAAACAAGTAGTTACAGCTATCATATGGAACAATCTAATCCTTTTCCCTCAACTTAAGAAAGGATATTAAATCTCTAGGAGCTCTGTGTTCCAGTGTAAGATGAGCTGCAAAGTCATCTGTGACATGATTAGGATCCCCTCCAGGTAACGCTGCACATATTGGACAAATCTGAAACAACAAAGTGAGGGGAAAAAAAAACACAAAAAAAAAACTTTAAACAAATCACAAACCACATCACTCAAAGTTGATCACTTAACAAGGATTCTTATACTTTAAATATCATACTCTAATCCTGTATCTAGATGGCCACGAGTTTAAAGCAGTAAATGTGTTCAAATGAAATTGTTAATTTTAGCATCTTTTCAAGACCCACTTTACTTTATAATTTTGCTTTTAATAATACCACAGAAACCAAAAGTAAAATTTTCAAATCCCATCTGCAATCCCTTCAGCTTTAAAACTTCTCTTTATATGTCAGTTCCAGCACAGAGAGTAGGTCTGGTTACACAGGATTACTAATTGCTTGTATGTACCTGCATGTAAAATTAAGTTCATTTAGTGCTCTTTGAATCCTCAAAGCAACTTCTCATTCATCTCACCAGAGAAGTGTGGGAAGGAGAATGAAATCAGATATAAATATTCATTAAAGTATCACCACTGAGACCATCCACTGATGTAGCATGAGAGTAGGGGTTTGGCAGAGGAGAGAAACTCCTTATTCCTACCAAGTATTTTGGGAGATGTCATTACAGTTTTTGTTTTGTTTAGTTTTACCTTAAAACTAAACACACACTTAAAGTTAAGGGAACCTTACTGCCACAGCGACTTTCATTTATTATTTTTATTTTTCCTCTCAATGACTTCGCATGCACCTGAGAGAAGCATGCCTTAAAAAGTCCTTTACAAGTTTTGCAGGACAGTCTTAAAGTTTGATAGATGACAGGTTAATAAGCCAGAAAGGAGAAATCCATTCCACACAATATGTTAGGTCTTAAGTACTCTGTAAAGCATCACTTTGATAGTAGAATTCAACACTTTTGAGGAATTTTACTCTCTGCTTCTCTGGGAGAAACAGATGGCACTTACAGTCCTGACATAATTCTCTTCCCTAATCAGTCAAGACTGCAATACTTCAGTTAAACCTTTTTGCCATCTTCAACTCTCCCAGGAGCAAGCTTTGTCTTTTTAGAGGAACCCTGGCTGTGATGCTGTCCTGGTTTCAGCTAGGATACAGTTCATTTTCCTCCTAGTAGTTGGTATGGCGCTGTGTTTTGGATTTAGGATGAGAATAATGTTGATATCGCACTGATGTTTTAATTGTTGCAGAGCAGTGCTTACACTAAGCCAAGGACTTCTCAGCTTCTCATTCTGTTCTGCAACATCAAGCTGCAGAAGCTGCTGAGGGAGAAGGTGAATCGATTCAGTTTGCAGAAGTGAAAGCCATCCAGCTGGCTTTAGATATTGCTGAATGAGAAAAGTGACCAGTTCTCTATCTCTATACTGGTTCATGGATGGTAGCAAATGCCCTGTGGGGGTGGTTACAGCAATGGAAGCAGAGCAACTGGCAGCAACACTAGGGGTTCTGCCAACCGAGCCGGACCTGCCCAATCAAACCTGTTACGTACTGTAGAAGGGGACAAAGTCCCTGTAGTGCACGTAAAAACCATGCTGGGGAAGACAGTCTGGGCTATTCCTGCCTCAGGAAAAGGCAAACCCATTCATGGGATTGCTTTTGCTCAAGGACCAGGATGCACTTGGTAGGTAATGCAAAGGAATGGGGAGGTCCAGTGTGTACCTCAAGGGGATTTAGTACTGGGTGAGAATAGTCCATGAATTGAATTGTATTAGTTAATTATTATCAAATACTGTATGTCATCACTACCACAATTGCTATATGTCAGTGTCCTATTAATGGTATCACAGTAACAGCCACGTAGGTAATGATGAATGAATTTTGATAGAATTGGATAAGCACGGCGGTGTGATGGAACGAGAACAGGCTTTAAGTGGAGACAATTCAACATCACACACCATCTCTTCTGCCCTAAAAAACTGCTGTGACAGATGGCGCCCGAAGTCAGTCACGGACTACACAAACTCAGTGGACATTGTATATACATATATGAAAAGTGGTGATTAATTGGAATGTACTGGAAAGGATGTAAACTGAGTATGACATAAATGATATGGAATAAGAGGTGGATATTGTCCTGGTTTCAGCTAGGATAGAGTTAATTTTCCTCCTAGTAGCTGGTAGGGTGCTGCGTTTTGGATTTAGGATGAGAATAATGTTCATAACACACTGGTGTCTGGTCAGGGTGGGGGGACCGGCTGCTCAGGGATAGGCTGGGCTTTGTTCAGCGGGTGGTGAGCAATTGCATTGTACATCACTTGTTTTGTACACATTAGTACTAGTAGTACTATTATCATTATTATTATTATTTTCCTTTCTTTTCTGCCCTAATAAACTGTCTTTATCTGAACCCACAGGCTTTCATTTCTTTCTGATTCTCTCTCCCATCCCAGAGAGGGAGAGGGGAGGGTGAGCGAACGGCTGTGTGGTGCTTAGCTGCTGGCCAGGTTAAACCACAACAGATGCAAAAACCAGGTTCTTAAACTGTTCTCTTCATGCATACATTCAAGTTGTTCACAATGGTTCTCAAAAGACAGTGGGCATAAAAGACATTTAATTGAAAGCACAAATACCTTTTTGACCCTTGGCGGGGAGGGGGGCGAGGAGGATGTCCTAGAATGTATTTATTGCAAGACCTAATCTCTCTGAGAGTGGTTGCCAAATCTTCAATGCTGGTATATTTTTAGAAAGTAGTGGTCATCATAAAGGACAATAAGATTTTATGGAGAGTCTTTTGTTACAATCCCTTTCCCCTTTAGCTCAGAATTTCACTTCACTAGATTCTGCTTTCCAAATCTCTCACCACTACAGAAGCAATACAAGTGGACACATAGCCAAACAGAACAGACACTTTATCATGACATGCAAGAAGAAAAAGAAGTTACCAGTAATGCCAGTAATGCACTGATCATAGATCACAGATCACAGAATGGCTTTGGTTGGAAGGGACCTTAAAGGTCATCTAGTTCCAACCCCCCTGCCATGGGGATGCCACCCACTAGATCAGGTTGCCCAGGGCCTTGTCCAACCTGGTCTTGAACACCTGTTGCAGGAAGAACGGCCAAAGTCATGACACATACCAATATGGTCAGATCATGCTCTCTCTTTATTACCCGAATAGCCTGACTTTTATAGCAAATTTAGCAGGGGCGGATAGAGTCTCACACAAGATTATTGGTCGAAAGCACTCAGACAAACAACTGCAAGAAAACAACCCCCTTGTGATTAGCAGTCACATAGATCCCGTCCTTGAAGCCAGCTGCTGGCAACAACATTTTTAATTCCTCAATTGGGCAATAAGGGAACATTATTATGGCAACTCCTCGTAGTCGTCCTGGTGGCTTGGTTTGCTCAGCTGCAGCAAGTCATGGCCTCCTTGCTGTTTCAAAAATTCCTCAACAAACACCTACTTGAGGCAGTTCAGAAACCTAAAGTGGTGGTCAGAATACACTGCAAAGCTCATTAAAGTGTCAACTCAGATATTATTAAGGGAAACTGAAAGGTAGATGAAGCTGCCAAACGAGCAGCCATGGGGGGGGGGAACAACAACGGGACACGACATGAGATGACTATAAAATCTCCTGCTACCCATTAGAAAAATACTGATAACAGTTCCCGAATATACAGAAAAGGAAGTCAAGCTGGCTGAGCTATTAAAATGTGTGAAAGACTTAAATGGATGGTAGATAACTGCCCATGGACAATGCATTGTTACACCAGAAAGAATGAGAGAACTTATGACTCAGGTCTATCCAGAAACCCATATGGGAGCTGAGGCTCTGGTAGAGAGTGTCAAAAGATATGCTATTGGAACTAAGATGTTACTGATTGCAGAAAGTATAACTCAAAAGTATGAGTTGTGCCTTAAAAACAATCATAAAATACAGGTAAAACCTGCTCCTAGAGAGGTAAAAAAAAAGGGAATTACTTGAATTATTGTCTTGGTTTCAGTTAAAACAGAATTAATTTTCTTCCTAGTAGCTGGTGGAATGCTGTGTTTTGGCTTAGGATGAGAAGAGTGCTGATAACACCCCGATGCTTTAATTGTTGCAGAGCAGTGCTTATAGCAAGCCAAGGACATCTCAGCCTTTTGCTCTGTCCTGCCAACAGGCAGGCTGGGGGTGCAGTAAGAGCTGGGAGGGGACAGACCCAGGACAGGTGACCCAAACTAGCCAAAGGGGTATTCCATACCATCTGACGTCATGCTAAACAATATATAGGGGTGGCTAGCCGGGGGGAGGGGGCCAGACTGCTCAGGGTTAGGCTGGGCATCGGTCAGCAGGTGGTGAGCAATTGCATTGTGCATCACTTGTTTGTACATACTATTATTAGTAGTACTATTATCACCATTGTATTATTATTATTATTATTATTATTATTATTATTATTATTATTATTATTATTGTTATTATTGTTATTATTGTTATTATTGTTATTATTATTTTCCTGTCTTATTAAACTGTCTTTATCTCAACTCACGGGCTTCACTTTCCATTTCTCTCCCCCGTCCCAGAGAGGGAGGGGGGAGGGTGAGCGAACAGCTGCGTGGTGTTTAGCTGCCGGCCGGGTTAAACCACGACAATTATATTTTCTGTTTGCCCAGAAGTTTTCCCGTTATTTGGAAGAATGGGTTAAAAATGGAAGATTGGCAAGGAGGATGGGATCAGAAAGGAAGACTGGCACAGAGGATTGTAAATAGGCTCAAGTGACCTTGCAGCTGGGAATGCGTAAAGTCTGGAGAGCAGCAATGTAGAAAACATATAAATTATGACTGATACTGTTTGTGCTCTGTGTGTTTGGCAAGTAGCACATCTGTGCATAGATAACATAGGTGTTTAGTGGACTCGGGGCACCCTATTGGACGCGTTTGTGCTCCTGGCCTTGGTACAGAGAAGATCAAAGAAGCACAGTGAGTATCACAGCACAGTGGTAAAAACTGCACCTGTATGAACCCTTGATAAAAACAGGTGAAACTAGCAGGCTGGTGATCTAGCATGGACCCTGTTTAGCAGTTCCTGTGTCCCCATTTGTGAGC